GTGAATGGTTATAAGTGACACGTATGTGGCTAAGAGTGTCTGTCAGGGTATAGGGTAGAGAGAGAAGGTACTGTACAGAGGACATACATGTGAGAAGGGTTAGGGATTGTCTGTGGACTCCTGGAGTAATCATGTTGTTAAGCAGGCGGCTTTCTTTCTTTCTTTCTTTCTTTCTTTCTTTCTTTCTTTCTTTCTTTCTTTCTTTCTTTCCCATTTTTTATAATTTTATTTATTAAATCACTGTGAGAGCAGTTACAAAGCTTTCGGGTTTAAGTCTCGGTCATACAGTGAAACACCTGTACCTTCACCAGTGCCCATTCTCTACCACCAAAAACCCCAGTATACCCCAATCCCACACCCTCCTGTGGGGCAGATGATTTCCAAATCACTCTCTCTATACTTTGATCACATTCAACATTTCAACACCACACCCACCATTATTATTTGGGATTTTACCCCAACACTCAGATCTGCTGAAAAGGCAACAGTAGACAATTTGTTTTCTATTGCTGGTCATGAATAATATATGATGTCGTGTGGTTGCAGTAGTGGCTGCGCAATTTTGAAATTTTGAAATTTTAACAATTAAATCTGGAGAGATTTCCTGCCAAAACCTGCTAGGTTCTGAGATCTGTTCCTGAGTCTGTCTCGTCACTGCGGGCCCAAACCTGACTGTTCAATGGTCTCTGGCAGATGGCGGCCACTGAGCCGCCAAGGGGGAGCAGGCCAAAGCACAAAACCTATTCCCACCTGGGCTGGCCCAGAGCCAGCAACCTACTGCGTCGCCCACACACATTTCTGCCAAAAGCCGTTGGGTTTCAAGATTTGTTTCTGAGTCTCTGGGATCATGGCTGTTAAGTAGCTTGATCAGGAGCCAGAGAGGACGTTTGTGGGCGGAGAATTGCAGTCTCATTGGGGTGGGAGGAAAGGGCCGGCTCCATCCTCATCCCATGAGGCCCTGCGTGTCTCGTCACTGTGGGCCCAAATCTGAGTGTCCAATGGCCTCTAGTGGATGGCAGCCACTGAGCCGCCAAAGGGGAGCAGGCGGAGGGACAGCATTCTTTCCCCCCTGGGGTGGCCCGGCGACAGTAACCTACTGCGCGGTCCAGACACATTTCTGCCAAAAGCTGCTGGGTTTCGAGATTTGTTTCTGAGTCCCTGGGATCATGGCTGCTAAACAGCTTGATCAGGAGCCTGAGAGGCCTTTCATGGGCGGCAACTCGGGTCTCATTGGCATGGGGAGGAAAGGGTCGGCTCCACCCCCATCCTGGGAGGCCTCATGTGTCTTATCACTGCGGGCCCAAACCTGACTGTCCAGTGGCCTCTGGAGGATGACAGCCACCTGGCCGCCAGGGGGAATAGGCCAACGCACAAAACCTATTCCCCCCTGGGGTGGCCCAGCACCGGTAGCCTACTGCAGGGATTGGACGCATTTCTGCCAAAAGCTGTTGGGTTTCGAGATTTGTTTCTGAGTCTCTGGGATCATGGCTGTTAAGCAGTTTAATCAGGAACCACAGGGGCCATGTTTCCAATTATATAGCTGAGCCGGAGGTGATTTGTGGGTGTGTCTCCCACATACCTAACTTTTGACTGTTTACTTTCTTGGTAAACTTTTCCCCAAGTTTTGGGGTCTGGCCAAAGGCACAGCAGCAATTTTGGGGTATATAGAAGTCTGAAGCATCCATGAAGCTGCTGATGCACTCGTATTTCTTTATTTATTTCTATATTTGGGACTCACTCCTCTGTCGCTTAGCTAACCTCCTGTAATTTGACTCTGAGCCTGTAATTACTCTGGCTTAATTGTGTACTTACATAAAACCTCTTCTTTAAGGCTGTCTATCTAATGGTTGTCTAGTGAAGGCTTTCAGAAGAATAGCTGTGGTCAGTAGACGTATGTCCATTGAATTAGGGCATTGCTATAAATTTTATAATAGGTGTGTCTATATTCTAATAAGTCTCTCAAAAAAAGATTTTCTTGTTGACCAAATTATTTCATTATTATATAATGTGTCTTACCATAAACAAGCAGATTCAGAATGATTTAGGGACTTAATTTACAACCCAAATTTCCCTCATTTCTTCCTCCCTCCCCACTGCCCTGCCACCCACATCCATCCTTAATGGGCGGGGGGGGGGGGAAGAATAGATAGTCATTAAATGTATTTAGGGAGCTGGGAGAGAGTACAGTATTCAGTCATCTCAGTTTGATTCCTGGAGCCACAAGGTCTCCTGAGTGAGATCACGATCACGATCACGACCATCCTGTTGTTCGTCGATTGCCTCCAGCAGGCCCCAGTAACGTCTCCTTCGTCCTAGCCCTGAGATTTTTAAAAAGTGCCATATTCAAGACTCTTTCAGGCTTAGGAGAATGAGACCCATCATTGTTACTGGTATTTGGCATATTGGGTATGCCACAGGTAGTTTGCCAGACTCTGCCGTGTGGGCAGGTTACATTCGGTAGCCTGCTGGTTTGTCCAAAGTAAGAATGAGATAATAAGATGTCGCGTGGCCACGAATGCAGCTGTGCGCTTCTGGGAGCTGGGTTTTATAGTCTCTGGATCTTGGCCGTTGATGGGATTACACGGCGCCAGGGAGCCAGTTGGTGGGTGTGACCCCTGCCTAATGGTATGTGGAGGATCTGGGTGGAGGATGCTCAGCCCCGATCCGAGCAGGCTTGGAGAAAATTTCCCTGAATGAGAAAATACAAGAAAATCCACTTTTTTTTTTTGCCTCTTCATTGATGCTGAATTAGAAACTGTTAAGCAAGAGACATTCTATCAGGGGTAGGAAACAGCATAGATGATATGTTGTATAGAATATTTGTTATAATGATTGAAATTTTCCAGAAGAAAGTTAGAAATATTAGAGACAAAGTTAGAAACATTGAATTGGTCAAGGTGAAGGGGCCCAGAGGAAAATGCTGTGGTTGCAAAGGGGATATCACTGGGTATAGCCTGGAAACCCCCATAGGATGTGGCCTTTAATCGCCTCTGGGTACCAGCTGTGGCCTGGGTTTCTCTGGCATCCCAGGGCTGAAGCAGCATTGCATCCACAGGTCCTTGCACTAGATCACCAGGTAAGGTGGCTGAGAATGACTAGTGGGCACCTCCTTTGTCTGCCCCTACCTCTGAGCATTGCCTGGGAAGGAATCCCTGCACCCCTGCCCAAAATATAGATTTTTCTTGTACTTTCTCACTGGTTTCTCTGCTACTTCCCTTGTTTCTTTCACCCAGGATTCTTTAAAAGCACTTATAGCCTGATCTTTTTATTTCAATTTCAAAGGAATGCATATTCATTATGGATAATGGGAAAATAGAGAAAATATGAAGAAGAAAATCACCTTTTAAATCAAACATGCTGAGATAAGCTTTGTTAACAACTTAGTGCATTATCTTTGCATATGCCCATTTACAAAATTCTAACAATGTAGTATATTCCATTTTATTTATTGTCCTTTTTGCCCCTTAGCAAGCAAGAATATTTTCAGATCATTAGTATGGTTTTAATGGCTACATTTGTTTAGATACTGCCATGATTTACTCCCCCATTTCTACTCCAGGTAGGAATTTATATTGCTCCCAATTTTGTTATAATAAAAAGTGTACAATGAAATACAATATTATAATTATTTATGGACATTTATGATTTACAATTATATCCTATGAACTGCATTCATGGGAATAGAACTAATGGGATAAGTGTATAAACACCCTTTTTTTTGTTCTCGCTCTTTCTCTCTGAGGTAGTAGAGCTCAGAATCTGTAGAGGTTCTCCCTACCCTTAGGCCTTTGAGTCTCAAGTCAGAAAGCTTTGGGTGTCTCCAAGCACTCCTAAAGCTAACTAGGCTTTGGCATTGGAACTTTTCTTTAAAAGCTCTGTCTCTTAATTGCAAAAATGATTCACGATGGTGGCTATAACCACATAATACAGAGTATTATAGAAAAGAGAAAGTCAATTTACTCTGCTCCTGCCCCTTGTTCCTCACTTTTCTGCCAAGCCCAGTCTCTTGAGTCCCCATGGCTCGTGGCTTAAGCTTTTATATGGTTAAGATTTTTTAGGTTTTTTTTTTTGCTCATGTAGAAAATTGAACCTTACTATAAGCATATTTTTCAACTTTCCTTCTTTAATATATCATAAACATTATTCCAGGCTAATGCACATTATTTCTAATATATTATTTCTAACAGCAGCACAATAATTGTGATATTTTAGATTAATTACTTTTGCTGGATCAGCAATCTAGTGAGACTTAAGTGGATGTTTTTTCTAGTCTTGGTTAGGCTCCTTCAGGCATCTAAGGTTCACTGTAATCAGCAATAGGTCAACTTTTCTGATCTCGGCTGTGCTCTCTCAAATGCCCAGGGCCTCTACTAGAACCAGGCTCTGGTCCATGTAGTTTCTCATTCACTAAGAGGTCACCCTGGATTACTCCACTAGGAAATACTGAGGTTCCAGAGAATAGGTGGTAGAATATTAGGTTTTGCGCAAGAAGTCAGAAAACGTAGGTTCAAAGTGCATTCTGTTCCTTCTGTTACATTCTACTTGCCAAAGACAGTTACAAGGCTAGCCAGATTCAAGGGTTGGTGGAGCTACTCCACCATTTATGGAAGACTCTCCAGCTTGCAGAGGACATGGATTCAGGGAAGCATGTGCAATTGTGCCCATTTTTATCTTCTACCATATTGGTTAACCCATTATTTAACCCAACAGTCTCCAACTGATATGTATTCAAGTTGATAGTATTAGTATTTTTTTTTAAAGCTTCAAGTTTTTTTTAATCCTTTTTGCATTCTGCACACTTTGCACCGACAGAGGTAAACAGCGATGACTTGAGACTCGGTAGGAAAGAACTCCGTTATAGTCAAATCAGTACGTTTATACATTTATCTTGTTCACATAAGGAAGAAACCAACTAGTAGAAAAACTGAGACAAATTATATCAAAAAGCAAACCATTTCATAAAAAAATACATCCAAGTAGGAAAAGCTGCCCCGGCGTCCTCACATCCTTCTCTTCTGTGTGCTGTTGTACAAAACGTTGTTCCCGCGGATGAAGGCGTCACAGTTCTTATTCTTTTTTTTTAAAATTTTAAAAAAATTTTTAGTGAAACACCATGAGGTACAGTTGTAGATTTACAATTTTTTGTGCTTGGATTTCTATTATACAATGATCAAATACCCATCCCTCCACCAGTGCCCATTTTCCAACACCATGGATAATATCCCTCCCACCCCCATCCCTCCCATCTCACCCTGCCTCTGTGGCAGAGCAATCCCTTGTGTTCTCTCTCTCCTTTTGAGTGTTGTGGTCTGCAAAAGAGGCTTTGAGTGGCAAACATGTTCAGTCCATAGTCTACTTTCAACAAGCATCTCCCCTCCTGGGAGGATCCTCCAAACACCCTTTGTTTGGTGCTCCCTTCTCTGTCTGAGCTGCCCTTTCCCCTAGAATGCCTGGCTGGCCTCTAAGCTATGGAGTAATCCTCCTGGTGTTGATCTCAGCTATTCTTGGGTATTAATCTCATATTTTGTTTCTTTATATTCCCCAGATGAATGCAGTCTTTCTATGTCTATCCCTCTCTTTCTGACTCATTTCGCTTAGCATGATACTTTCCATGTTGTACCACTTGTATATAAATTTCATGACTTCATCTTTTCTAACAGCTACATAGTACTCCATTGTGTAGATGTACCAAAGTTTCTTTAACCAGTCATCTGTTCTTGGGCATTCAGGTTTCTTCCAGGTTCTGGCTATAGTAAAGAGTGCTGCAATGAACAAACAAGTGCAGATATCACTTCGACTATACATTTTTGCATTTCTGGGATATATTCCCAGGAGTGGTATTGCTGGGTCAAATGGGAGCTCAATTTCTAACTTTTTGAGAATCATCCATACTGTTTTCCAGAAAGGCTGAACCAGTCGACATTCCCACCAACAGTGAAGGAGTGTCCCTTTCTCGCCACATCCGCACCAGCATTGGTTGCTTTTGTTCTTTTGGATGTGGGCCAGTCTCTGAGGTGTGAGATGGTATCTCATTGTGGTTTTGATCTGCATCTCTCTGATAATTAATGATGTAGAACATTTTCTCATGTGCTTTTTTGCCATTTGGATTTATTCTTTGGGAAAGTTTCTGTTCATTTCATTGCCTCATTTTTGGATGGGGTTGGATGTTTTCTTCTTGTGGAGTTCAACCAGTATTTTGTATATTCTTGATATAAACCCCTTGTCAGATGTGTGTTCGGCAAATATCCTTTCCCATTCTGTAGACTGTCTTTGTATTTTGGTCACTGTTTCTTTGGAGGTGCAGAAACTTCATAGTTTAAGATAGTCCCATTTATCTCTCTCTGTTTTCACTTGCTCGGCCAGTGGCGTGGCATCTTTGAAGATACCATTAGCTTCAATGTCATGGAGGGTTTTGCCAACTTTGTCTTCAATGTACCTTATGGTTTCTGGTCTGATGTTGAGGTTTTTAATCCATTTTGATCTTACTTTTGTACATGGTGTTAGGCAGAGTTCTGAGCCCACTTTTTTGCATGTAACCGTCCAGTGATGCCAGCACAATTTGTTAAAGAGACTTTCCTTACTCCACTTCACATTACTTGCACCTTTATGAAAGATTAGATGATCATATGATTGAGGGGAGATGTCAGTGTATTCAACCCTGTTCCATTGATCTGCAGTTCTGCCTTTGTTCCAGTACCATGCTGTTTTAATTATTACTGCTTTGTGGTACAATTTGAAGTTCGGGAGGTTGATTCCTCCCATTTTCTTTTTCCCAAGAATTGATTTAGCTATTCGTGGGGGCTTATTGTTCCATATAAATTTCAGGAGTGTTTGCTCCATTTCTTTGAAGAATGTCATGGGTATCCTTATAGGAATTGCATTGAATTTATACAATGCTTTCGGCAGTGTTGCCATTTTGACAATGTTAAGTCTCCCGACCCATGAGCAGGGGATATCTTTCCATTTCCTCATGTCCTCTTTTAATTCCTGTAGTAGCGTTTTGTAGTTTTCTTTGTACAGGTCCTTTACTTCCTTAGTTAAGCTGATTCCTAGGTACTTGATTTTCTGGGGAACAATTGTGAACGGGATCATTTTTTTCATGTAGCTTTCTTCTCTCTCACTTTTTGCGTATAGGAAAGCCATGGACTTTTGGGTATTGATTTTATAGCCTGCAACTTTACTATACAAGTCTATTGTTTCTAGGAGTTTTTTGGTGGAGGTTATTGGGTTCTCTAAGTATAGTATCATATCATCTGCGAATAGTGAGAGCTTGATTTCTTCCTTTCCTACCTGAATGCCCTTAATATCTTTTTCTTGCCTAATCGCTATTGCAAGTACTTCCAGTACTATATTGAACAGCAGTGGAGAGAGTGGGCATCCTTGTCTCGTTCCTGATCTTAGAGGGAAGGCTCTCAGTTTTTCCCCATTGAGGATGATGCTTGCTGTAGGCTTGTGGTAGATGGCTTTAACTATGTTGAGGAAAGTCCCCTCTATACCCATTTTGGCTAGGGTTTTCATCATAAAGGGGTGCTGGATCTTGTCAAATGCTTTCTCTGCATCTATTGATATGATCATATGCTTTTTATCTTTTCTTTTGTTGATATGATGGATTATGTTGATTGATTTCCGAATGTTGAACCATCCTTGCATCCCTGGGATGAATCCTACTTGGTCATGGTGTATGATCTTTTTGATGAGTAGTTGGATTCTAGTTGCTAGTAGTTTGTTGAGGATCTTTGCATCTGTGTTCATCAGGGATATTGGCCTGTAATTCTCTTTCTTTGTGGTATCTCTGTCTGCTTTTGGTATCAGTGTGATATTTGCTTTGTAGAAACTGTTCAGAAGTGTTTTTGATATTTCAATTTCGTGGAAAAGTTTAAAAAGGATTGGGAGTAAGTCCTCTTTAACAATTTGGAAGAATTCACTAGTGAATCCATCCGGGCTAGGACTTTTGTGCTTGGGGAGACTTTTTATTACCATTTCAATTTCCTTGATGGTGATAGGTCTGTTCAGGTATTCCAGGTCTTCTTGGTTCAGCCTTGGGAGTCTGTAGGAGTCTAGGAATTTATCCATTTCCTCGAGATTTTGATGTTCCGTGGCATAAAGCTTCTCAAAGTACTCCCTGAGGATCCTTTGAATTTCTGTAGTTTCTGTTGTAATGACCCCCTTTTCATTTCTGATTCGCTTTATTAGGGTTTTCTCTTTCCCTTTATTTGTGAGTTTTGCTAGTGGCTTATTGATTTTGTTAATTTTCTCGAAGAACCAGCTCTTGGTTTCATTGATCTTTCGGATTGTTTTTTGGGTTTCCATCTCGTTAATCTCTGCTCTGAGTTTTATTATCTCCTTTCTCCTGTTCGGGTTGTGCTCCTTTTTTTGGTCCTTCTCCAAGCTCTTAAGCTGTGAGGTTAGGTTACTTATGTGTGCTCTCTCCTCCTTCCTGAGGGATGCTTGTAGAGCTATAAACTTTCCTCTTAACACAGCTTTTGCTGTGTCCCTTAAGTTTTGGTAACTCGTGTTCTCATTTTCATTTGTTTCTAGGAATCTTTTGATTTCCTCTTTGATTTCCTTTCTAAGCCACTCGTTGTTCAATAGAGCACTGTTTAATTTCCAGGTGTTTGATTTAGTTTTCTGTTTTTGTGTGTGATTTACTTCTAATTTCAGCACATTATGATCTGAGAAGATTGTTGATACAATCTCTATCTTCTTAATTTTATGGAGGCATGTTTTGTGGCTCAGCATGTGGTCTATCTTGGAGAATGTTCCATGTATGCTTGAGAAGAATGTGTATTCAGCTTTTTGTGGATGAAGTGTCCTGTATATATCTACTAAATCCCTTTCTTCCATTGTTTCCCTTAGATGAAGTATGTCCTTGCTAAGCTTGAGTCTGGTTGATCTATCCAGAGATGACAAAGCGGTGTTGAAGTCTCCCACTAGTATTGTGTTGCTATTGATGTCTTTTTCCAAATCTATGAGTAGTTGTTTTAAGTACGTTGCTGATCTCTCATTAGGTGCATATGCATTTATTATTGTAAGTTCTTCCTGTTGTACAGATCCTTTGATCACTAAGAAATGGCCTTCACTGTCTCTTATGACTTTCTTTACTCTGAAATCGATGTGGTCTGATATTAGGATGCCTACCCCAGATTTTTTATGGGAGCTGTTTGCCTGTAGGATTGTTTTCCAGCCTTTGACTCTGAGTCTGTGTTTGCTTTGACTATTGAGATGTGTTTCTTGCAGGCAGCAGAATGTTGGATTCAATTTTCTAATCCATCCTGCCACTCTATGTCTTTTAATTGGTGCGTTTAGGCCATTGACTTTGAGAGAAATTATTGTTATGGGATTTTGCCCCATTGTTCTGTTGAAATTTCATGTATTGGAGGGGCCTGTCTTGCCTTAAAGTAGCCCATTTAGTTGTTCTTGTAACCATGGTTTTGAGTCTGTGAAGTTCCTGAGCTGTTGTTTGTCTGTGAAACTGTGTGTTGTTCCTTCTATTATGAATGAGAGTCTCGCTGGGTAAAGTATTTTTGGAGAGGCATTTATTTCACTGAGTTTTTTCACTATGTCCCACCACTGTTTGTGGGCCATGAGGGTTTCATCAGAAAAATCAGCTGTGAATTTCAAGGATGCTCCTTTGTAAGAGTTTTTTTCTTTGATCTTGCTGCTTTCAGAATTTTGTTCTGTCTAAGGTTTTGGTCATTTTGATCAGAATGTGTCTTGGGGTATTTTTATTCGGATTTCTTCTAGCTGGTACCCTTCGGGCCTCCTGAATGTGGTCACAAGTTTTCTTCAGCTCTGGAAACGTTGTAGCAATGATGTCATTGACAGTTTCTTCTTCATCAAGGTTTTCTTCCTTTCCCTCTGGGACTCCAATAATTCTTATGTTACCCCTCTTGGCTTCGTCACGATCTTCTCTTGCCATCTGTTCCCGAATTGTGAGTCTCTTTTCCATTTTCTGCTCTTTCCTGGAGAGTCTCTGAACTTGATCTTTGAGCTCACTGATTCTGTTCTCAGCAGCTGTTACTCTGCTACTGAGGCCTTCCACTGAGTTTTTCAATTCGCCTACCAGGTTTTTTAGGTCTGACATTTCCGATTGCATTTTCCTCATTTCTGCCTTCAAATCCTCTTGTCTTTTATTGGCATTGCTTTCCATTGTTTCTTTTAGTTCTCTAAGCATCCTAAGTAGCTCCCTTCTGAATTCCTTGTCAGAGAGGTTGTCTAACACTACAGTACTGTTGATGTCTTCTGGGTTAGCCTCTTCAATAATAAAGTTTGGTGGGCTTTTGCGTTGCTTTACCATTGTGACAGGTGTGGTTTAGTCCTTCACGTTTACTGTTACTATTCTGCTTGATATGTAGTGTGAGTTGAGATAGGCTTATGAGTTATTGGCTACTGTGTTTCTAGTGGCTGAGCTAAAATAGAGAAGATTCCATCTAAGAAGGTAGCTTATGGTTCCTAGGGCATATGTAGTGAGAGAATATTTCGCTGCCGCGTTAGTGGCCGTGGCTCCGAAAAGTGTCCCTGCGCTGGTACCTGATTGGAAGGAGGAGAGGGGTCCCCTTCAGCTTTGTTGCTGAGCCGTGGGGCTCAGTTCCCTTCCAGCGCAGATCAGGGGAAAAAACTGGCTGTCACAATTCTTATTCTTGAGCTGGCCGTTAACATACTCCTCCCTCTGCTCCAGGCAGATGTTCATGTAGCCGTCCAGGCAAGCCAGGACCCCTCGATATTCCACTCCAGAGTTTAATTTGACTACGACTGGTCGTCCAATGATTTGCTTTAGGAAGTCACTGGGGGTTTGCTTCCTAGACTCATCTTACCGGTCCTGATAAATCTGCAGATGTGCCGGAGTTATGTCTGGAGCAGGAACTGGTTTATGGGTGAAGCCCCGCCGACCCCATTCATGAGGGCCAGTTGCACTCAGGCGCTATATCCCATTGAGCGAGCTTCTTCCTCGCGACCGGCAGCCGGAACCGCACTCCCTGTGCAGTGCACTGGTCCCCGCTGAAGGCGATAGTATTAGTATTCTTAAAGGTTTTAGTAAGTATCACCAAATTAACATATAAAAATTGAACTAGTTTGACTGTTAATCAGCAATGTATGAGAATGCTCCTTGGGTAAAATTTTTGCTTGGGTCATATTGAGAACAACTCTAGCAGAATTCCACCATATCTGGGTTCTTCCAAGAAGACTTTTAAAACCTTTTATAAGTAAAATTATGATTAAATTTTTATTTTTAGAAAGTAGAAACCTACAAATTTGACAAAAGCAATGGAAGTTAAAAATTCTAAGAAGGGGGCTGGAGCGATTGCACAGCACGTAGGGCGTTTGCCTTGCACGAGGCCAACCTGGGTTCGATTCCCAGCATTTCATATGGTTCCCTAAGCACCACCAGGAGTAATTCCTGAGTGCAGAGCCAGGAGTAACCTCTGAGCATGGCTGGGTGTGACCCAAAAAGCAAATAAATAAATAAATAAAAATGCGAAGAAAATAATCAAGACACTGCTTCTCTTCATAATATTGGAGGGAAGTAGCTTCAATTATTTTATCAAGAATCATCTATAAGCAAGATGCTGCACAGGATACTGTTGCAGATAAAATATGAATTAAATGAAGTTACTGCCAATGAAAATTTAGAGTCCAGGACAGCTATGTGTTATTGAGTAACTAGAAGAACTCAGAGTCTGAATGTGCAATAAGCATTATGTTTGGATTAAATAAACATCAACAACAGCAGAACAGCAGTAAATGTAGCTAGCCTTCATTGCACATTTTTACTGTGTCAGGCATTCTGGTAAATTTGTTTTGTAAATTGATCTCTTAGGTAAAAAATATATGAGTGTATTGTGATCAGTGTAAAATCAAATATATTTAGAAGTATTACTATAATTCATAACACTATTTTCAGTTATGGATACTGAATGGATATGATCTACATTTTTTGACTTTTTAAAAACTTTTTATTTAAATTTTTTTGTTTGTTTGTTTTGGGCCCATACCCATCAATGCTCACCAGTAACTCCTAGCTCTGCACTCGGGAATTATTCCTGGCAGTGCTTGAGGGACCATATGGGATGCAGGGGATCAAGCTTGTGTTGGCTGTGTGCAAGGCAAGGCAAGTCTCCTCCAGCTGTACAATCTCCCCAGCTCCCAAGAAGTAATTTTTATGTTTGCTTTTGTTTTGCGGGCACACCCAGTAGTGCTCAGGGATGACTTCTGATTCTGTGTTCAGGGATCACTCCTAGCAGGCTTAGGGGACCCTAGGGGTGATGGGAATGGAACCTGGATGGGTCATGTGCAAGAGTCCTAGCCACTGTACCATAGCTCCAGTCTCCCAAATTTTGGCTTTCAAAGGAGTTCTCAACCTAGGGAGATAGATGAAGTGGTAGAGCACATGTCCACCACGTGAAATGCCCTGAATTTGATCCTTAGCACCCCACAGCCTCCTTGAACGCTGGCAGGAGTATCCCTGGTGGTCCCTGAGTGCTATCAGTTTAGACCCTTATGCTTGATTTGAGAATCTCTGGAAGTATCCCCTGATCTCCCAAATTCTGTTTGGTATGTCCCCTCCTATATGTGAAAAGAAGGGTCCCATGTTTAAAATGGTTAAGACCATCTACCAGTCAATAGGACGTAGGACAGAGCATCTCTTACTGAGAATTGACTGATACATGATTTAAAGTGGGGATATGATACATCACAGAATAAGACCCAGTAATTTTGCTATTTGAACACAATCTTTGTGTCATTTTCTGGAGCCTGAATGTCATCTTCTTCTTCTTCTTCTTCTTCTTCTTCTTCTTCTTCTTCTTCTTCTTCTTCTTCTTCTTCTTCTTCTTCTTCTTCTTCTTCTTCTTCTTCTTCTTCTTCTTCCTCTTCCTCTTCCTCTTCCTCTTCCTCTTCCTCTTCTTCTTCTTCTTCTTCTTCTTCTTCTTCTTCTTCTTCTTCTTCTTCTTCTTCCTCCTCCTCCTCCCCCCTCTTCCTTCTCCTCCTCCTCCTCCTCCTCCTCCTCCTCCTCCTCCTCCTCCTCCTCCTTCTCATTTGGAGTTCCTAGGCCTGTTAGGAGAGGCAGGGTTCTTGTGAGGGGACTTTGGGTTTTCTCTGGGGACTTCAGGGATTTGGGGGCTCAGTCAGTTCCTTGTGAATATTTCTGGACATTTAGGTTTGGATTTTTGAGGGTTGTTTAGAAGCTGAGAGTCAAACTAGAAGTGAGTGTGAAGAAACAGCACATCAGAGTATCTGCTAACCGTTGTCCACGGTGGGAATGAAGACCTGTCCAACTTCATGCTCCATCCCCTCCCCCTGCTTCCCCCTTTGCCCACTATGAGCCTGGGAATCTAGGCCACATAAAACCAACCACGGACACAGCCCCTTACATTCTAACCCCTTAGTCCTCAGACTCAACCTCTACCTTCCCTCCTTCTGGTGGGTCAAAGAATTCAGGGAAAGGATTTGCTACATCATTCCACATTTAATGTTAGTTTTTAGACAAGTAACAAAAGGAGTTGCCTCTTATTCCTTATGCCTCATCATACTCCCAGAGTAATGTAAGAACTACTTTTTGTTTGTCTGTTTGTTTTTGGGTCACACCCAGTGGTTACTCCCTGCCCTTCACTCAGGAATTACTCTTGGGAGTCTTGGAGGACCATATGGGGAATCTGCGGTCGAATATGGGTTGACTACATACAAGGCAAGTCCCCTTCCTTTTATCTTATCACTCTGAACTCCCAAGAGTTACTTGAAGACATGAATATATCAAAGATTTTTGAAGAATGTCCTGATACAGCTATTGAAAATGAAAAGGACATTTGTCCTTTCCATTACAAGTTTCCAAATGCTTGCAAAGTTGAAAAACACTGAATAAATCTGAAATTAAGCTGAAAGCTGTCAGACAGAAGATACTGTTGTCATTTCAGAGAGAGGGGTTGCCCTGTAATTTAAGGTAAATCTGTTAAATCAGCTTTTTTTTGGAAAAAAAAATAGCTTTTCAATGACAACTGCCTTTAACTGTGTTCCCATGTTCAGGGAAATTTGTACAGTCTTTTACACTGATTACATAAATTAGATCTAAATCAACAATGCTACACTAAGAATTTCTTTTTTTTTTCCCTTTATTTTATTTTTTTTAAAGTTGTAGATTTACAATTTTTTGTGCTTTGGTTTCAATTATACAATGATCAGATACCCATCCCTCCACCAGTGCCCATTTTCCACCACCATGGATAATATCCCTCCCACCCCCATCCCCCCATCCCCCCTGTCTCTGTGGCAGGGCAATCCCCTGTGTTCTCTCTCTCCTTTTGGGTGTTGTGGTCTGCAAAAGAGGCATTGAGTGGCAAACATGTTCAGTCCATAGTCTACTTTCGACATGCATCTCCCCTCCTGGGAGGATCCTCCAAACATCCTTTATTTGGTGCTCCCTTCTCTATCTGAACAGCCCTTTCCTCTAGGATACCCGGCTGGCCTCTAAGTTATGGAGTAATCCTCCTGGTGCTGATCTCAGCTATTCTTGGGTATTAATCTCATACTTTGTTACTTTATATCCCCCAGATGAATGCAATCTTTCTATGTCTATCCCTCTCTTTCTGACTCATTTCGCTTAGCATGATACTTTCCATATTGTACCATTTGTATGTAAATTTCATGACTTCATCTTTTCTAAGAGCTACATAGTACTCCATTGTGTAGATGTACCAAAGTTTCTTTAACCAGTCATCTGTTCTTGGGCATTCAGGTTTCTTCCAGTTTCTGGCTATTGTAAAGAGTGCTGCAATGAACAAACAAGTGCAGATGTCACTTCGACTATACATTTTTGCCTCTCTGGGATATATTCCCAGGAGTGGTATTGCTGGGTCAAATGGGAGCTCAATTTCTAATTTTTTGAGAATCGTCCATACTGTTTTCCAGAAGGGCTGAACCAGTGGACATTCCCACCAACAGTGAAGGAGTGTCCCTTTCTCGCCACATCCACGCCAGCATCGGTTGCTTTTGTTCTTTTGAATCTGGGCCAGTCTCTGAGGTGTGAGATGGTATCTCATTGTGGTTTTGATCTGCATCTCCCTGATGATTAATGATGTAGAGCATTTTCTCATGTGCTTTTTTGCCATTCGGATTTCTTCTTTGAGAAAGTTTCTGTTCATTTCATTGCCTCATTTTTGGATGGGGTTGGATGTTTTCTTCTTGTGGAGTTTAACCAGTATTTTGTATATCCTGGATATCAACCCCTTGTCAGATGTGTATTCGGTGAATATCTTTTCCCATTCTGTTGACTGTCTTTGTATTTTGGTCACTGTTTCTTTGGAGGTGCAGAAGCTTCTTAGTTTAAGATAGTCCCATTTATCTATCTCTGTTTTCACTTGCTCGGCCAGTGGCGTGGCATCTTTGAAGATACCATTAGCTTCAATGTCATGGAGGGTTTTGCCAACTTTATCTTCAATGTACCTTATGGTTTCTGGTCTGATGTTGAGGTCTTTAATCCATTTTGATCTTACTTTTGTACATGGTGTTAGGCAGAGTTCTGAGCCTATTTTTTTGCATGTAGCCGTCCATACACTAAGAATTTCTAATCATAAAGTTGGTGAGTTAGAATAGCCTTTAGTTTACAAAGATGGAAATTACATTGCAGTGTTCTCATACAAACACCTAACAAGTGAGTCTACTGCAACAAACTTTCTAGTTATCAGTTAAGAATCATTAGTATTTTCAATGTTAAAAGAAAACACATTATTTTCAATTAATAAATGTATCAATAAAATTTGTTATTAATACAAGATGCAAAGAATAGAATTATCTGACATTTTACAGTTACTGTCATGTAACGATTACCTAATGCTTCTCTTATCTACCTGTCTGCAAGTAATAACGAGCATTATAATTGAACCTGTATTATATACCAGCCGCTAGCACTTGTGTGAAGCACCTATTATTTACTATCCCAAATTTTTCAAAAGGACTGAAGAGTAGAGAAGTGGTGTGATTTGTCAAAATTGCAGAGCTAAAATAGGAATGAAGACGGTTTGAGTTTTGCATCTATGCTTTTAATTCCAACCTGTATTGTTATCATTTATTTCACTTAAGCACAGGTTTATTGTTAACCCAGTATTTTTTCTGTCTTAAAAGTCCTTATGTTGATGAAGTTATGAAATTTGCATGTAAGTGGATCGACATGGAGAGTATCATGTTAAGTGAAATGAGTCAGAAAGAGAGGGGCAGACATAGAAAGATTGCACTCATTTGTGGAATATAAAGTAACAGAATGGGAGACTAACATCCAAGGATAGTAGAGATAAGGACCAGGAGGATTGCTCCACAGCTTGGAAGTTTGCCTCACATGCAGGGGGAAAAGGCAGCTCAGACAGAGAAGGGACCACCAAGTAAAGGGTGCTTGGAGAGCCCGCTCAGGATGGGAGGTGTGTGCTGAAAGTAGACTATAGACTGAACATGATGGCCACTTAATACTTGTATTGCAAAACACAACACCCAAAAGGAGAGAGAGAGAGAGCAAAATGAAATGCTCCTGCCACAGAGGTGGAGGGAGGTGGTGATGGGGGTGGTGGTGGGAGGAATACTTGGATCATTGGTGGTGGAGAATGGGTACTGGTGAAGGGATGGGTACTTTATAATTGTATGACTGAAACGTAAGTATGAAAGTTTGTAAGTCTGTAACTGTATTTTACGATGATACAGTTTTAAAAAATAGTCCTTATGTTGATAATGTTCTAAAATTTCAAATTTCAAATTTCAAAGTAGGCTAATGGACTTTAACTTGAATCTGATTTTTAATCAGGGTTGAATCAAGGGTACTTTAGACTTATAAACGATAATTTCCACAAAGAGCAGCTGGGACACTGTATACATCTGTTCATTGAGATATTATTTCCAAACTTTAAGAAAATATGCTGGCTGGGTTTTTCTTAGCCCTTTACTAAAATATATCTCAAAGTGTGAGATCAACAAGTCTCTTAACTTAGTGGTGACAGGAGGGAATAAAAAAAAAGACTCCATCTCTCTATTTAACAATTCTGTACCTGTGCTTAGGGATGTTGGCTGATTGATAACATGGCCAATTCAATGAGAGTACCCATTCAGATGGGTACAAACAACCTGGGGATTGGGGACTGTGTAAACACACAAAAAATAAACGGCTGGCGGTCAGGCCATTTCCCCACTCCACGGAGGTCAATGGCGATGGTCAGGCGAAGGAAGGAAACGAGGCCAACCTGGTTGGTCTTAGCAGCCGTTTATTACATGGAAGAGATGTATGTCATGGAGGCTTCAGGAGTCCTCAAGCACATGCAACCCGAGAGAGCCCCGAAAATCCCCTTATATACATCATGGTACCTCTAAAGGGCCAATATAGTGATGTCATCAAAAAGAGTTATAGAAAGAACATTGAGGCAGCAAACATACAAAGTTTCTTTACAACCACATTGTTTCTTTACATCCACATTGTTTCTTTACATCTGCAGGCCAGTAATCTTGGCCTCACCTTTACAAGCTATTTGGATTAACACATCAAAGACAGTCTGCTAGAGCTTGGAGCCTACATCTCAAATATCAGCCTGCCTGGAGCCAGGTATCTACATACCCAAGATCAGGCCTGGCTTAGCACCTGAGATCTGCTTACCTAAGACCAGCTAGGCTCCTGTGAGATAAGAGAAACTGCCTCAATATACTGAAATCATTTACTGAAGGCACTTTGGAGGGGGAAAGGTTCAGTCTCATCCAAGCTAGCCAAGACACATAGGAAAACTGCTTCTAGGACGTGTTTCTCCTCTCCTTGTCCAACCAACATAAGCATACATAATATTAATCATTTTGTACGGACACAGTAAGAAATACTTTGAGCTTATAGAATTGCTCTCCTAGGACCATCTCGATCTCAGACTGCAGTGCTCAGGCCAGATAGCTTTCCTATTCCTAGCAGCAGGGTCCTAATCTCATCATTACTTTTGGATCATGACATCATTTGCCTATGATCAAACTCTTAACTTATAGTTAAGAATCGTGGCACCTTGGCCTGGCCCATCGTGATGCCAGGGTAGCACATAACTTACCGGCTTGCCCTGGTTCCATCCAGTCCCACGTCGGGACCCTGCCCTTGGGGTGCTAGGAAGTGAGGGCAACTGAGGCTTAAGTTGAGAAGGCAGATGTCCAGGAGTGAATAATATCCAAAGCCAATTAGTTCCTAAGTTATAAAGCATAATATTAATTAATTGTCTTCCTGTATCTATACAAAAGGACATTGCATTAAAGTAAACTGCTCAAAAGACATAAGGAGAGGAGAAAGGCAA